CCGTTCTGCATCGGGGATCCGGGGCCGCCGCGGTTCTGCATCGGGGATCCGGGGCCGCTGCCGTTCTGCATCGGGGATCCGGGGCCGCTGCCGTTCTGCATCGGGGATCCAGGGCCGCTGCGGTTCTGGATCGGGGATCCGGGGCCGCCGCGGTTCTGCATCGGGGATCCGGGGCCGCCGCCGTTCTGGATCAGAGATCCGGGGCCGCTGCGGTTCTGGATCGGGGCTGGATTCCTCCTGTTTTCCTGGAAGACATGATCTTTTTTCGTCCCCTCGCGGTTCTGACCCGTCTGGCTTTCACCCTGACATTACTGGTTTTGTAATGTGGAGCTACTGGTCAGCTCTCAGAAAATTCCCAAACCATTAAAGGGTGATATCCTATAAAATCAGCTGTTTAGAGATTTTAACTGGGATCTAAAGTTCTTCCTTCATCAGAATCGGGTCCTTAGTTTGTTTTATTCAGCCTATAAAAGGCTGAGAAACAATTTCTAAAGGACCTTATAACCAATCAGAGAGCTGGGTCCCCCCCTTTGGAATGGAGGTTTGGCTTCTTTGTTAGCCTGCAATGCCCCATACCTGTCTGTGTCTGTGTTCGTATTCATGGGCGGCGTCCTTAGAAGGCCACATTCGAAGGCCGATTACGTCATAGCGCGACGCGGCCTGGTCGGATTTCAAGACTCCTCGTTATCCGACCTTAAAATGCGTCCTTCTTTTAGCCTGATTTGAAGGACAGGTCTGATGTATCCTCGCTATCCTTGGTTTACCCAGGATTCATTGCGAGACCAAGCAAGCTGTGATCAGAGGAAAGGTTACTTGGCGCCGAACAGTGGTGAAAATTGGAAGTTCAGTTTAATATAATCCAGTCTGTGAATAGTTCCGTCTGAAATGAATGAAAATAGTTGTTTTAATGGTTATAGAGTCAGATATGTGGCAGCAATGTTTGGTTTATCTAAAGGTTTTTATCTGTTACTGTGTAAATGGGTTCACTTTTTTCACTCGTGTAAAGTCGTGCAACACTCGGGAGAATTAGGAAATGCAACAATTGGAACAGATGCTTCCCTGCGACTTCCCTGAACTTTTAGTTCAGGTGTCGGTTCGTTTTGGGTTTTTTTTATGGCACTAGTGCCTCGTTTTTTGTGACAGTAGGCTGACAGGAAAGGAGGTATGAGAGATGGAGAGACATGCGGGAAAGGACCACAGGTCTGATTCGAACCCGGGTCGGCCGTGTCGAGGACTGGGGCCTCCGTACATGAGTCGTGCATGCTAACCTCCGCGCCACCTGCACGGCCTTCAGGGGTTTATAAAATATGTGAATCAGGAAATTGTCTTTATACCAAACTGAACGATTTTTCTCTATTTCAAAAAATACTTTAGATTTTGAGATGGAAAAATTTTTAAATTCAAAGTATAACATGGATGTATAAACATCTCTTTTTATTTCAGTTAAATTCTGTTTAAAGTAACGGATTATAGTTAAAAATGTCTCCTTCTTTACTGGTTGATGATTTTCTTTATTCGGACGCCGCTGATTTTTAACCCCTTTTATACTCCGATCCGCTCATATTTGGGGGTTTGTCTTTAGGATGCTCTAGTCTCTGTTGTCTTGTTGGGTTTGACTCTGACCTGGACGACTGAGAATTTTCACCAGCAGTCAGAGGAGCTCTGGTGTCCTGCAGCTCTGCTTCCTGCTGACAGACGGCGGTCCGTCTGAGCCAGCGGGTTCACGTTCGAATCCCCGACTGGAAGCGGCTCTCAGATCCGCCGCAGGACGGAAGGCTTCAGGCCTCAGGAGAGTCTGCAGCATCTGGGAGCAAAGGGGCCTAACGAGGAGCCAGCTGAGCTGATCCAGCAATTAGTCCAGACCACAGCTGCTCTGCTCAAACTGGACTAAACTAATCAACCAGAGACCAACCAATGGGAGTCAGATAAAGTCCAGCAGCTTTAATTTGAGGGTGAAACTCTGACTGAAGCCGCCTCCATGGCTGCTTCTTCTCAAACTCCTCCATTGATTATTCATGAGGGTGAAGCTGACGGATAAAAAGATGAAGTGATGCAGAGAAGAGAGACGGGAGGCCTTCCCTTTGTTAAGAGCCACAGCCGCAACAATTTACATGAGAGCCGCGCCTCCCTGGAAGCCCGTTGGTCCGCCGCCTGGCCTCGCCCCCGCCCCTCCTCCCCTACGCCACGCCGCAGCCAATCAGGAGCTCACACACACACACACACACACACACGCGGCGAGGGGCTCCTCGCAGTGAGGATGGAGTGAAACGGGGATTCACGGGGGGGTGAATGGACTGACGGCAGAATAATTAGTGAGCTGGATGAGTGAGGAGGAGTTCCTGTGGAGAGACTCCGCCCCCTGCTGGAGCTGCAGTGGAACTACCACACAGAAACTCCAGAGAAACGTGCGTCTGAGGCTCTGCTTCTCTCCTCGCATGTAAAACATCAGAAACGGCAAGGTTAGATGAAGAAGCTGCTTCTGGACGATGGATGACATCAGCAGCGGCCGCCGTCACTAAAACCACCGCAGAAGAAGAAACAGACTGACCCTTAGAGCAGGAAGTATACCAGGATTGGAAATGAAAAATAAACACTTCTTCTCCTGTCAATCTGCTCTATAATCCAGAACTCCTCTATTGGAAAAATTTAATTTTATTAAAAAGTCTTCGTTAATCAAAAGTCTTCCATTAATCAAAAAAAAGATTGACAGTTTAATGGATTTCTTAAATGACTGTTAGTTTAAACCCTAATTTTATCATTTATAAGGAAAAATTCAGAGCTTTGGAAAAAGGTGCGTTCAGGGACTGAACCAGACGATGCTGTTTGAGGACTGACCCACCTGAGTGACCTCATGGTGACCTTACAGTGACCTCACAGCGCTGAGACACTCGGTGTGTCGCTGGTTTAGGCCTCATCGCAGCCTGTTGGCTTCCTCTGCTGGAAAAGTGCAAAGCGATCGTGAAACTCGCTCACACGTGAACACACTCGGTCTCAGTGCGGACGCTGCAGCTGTTCTCTCTCCTCTATAACTGGACAGGATGCGTCTGACAGCAGAGTTTGGTTCAGCCTTCACAGGGTGGCTGCAGCGCTGGCCTGCAGCGCCACCTGCTGGACCAATCAGTCTGATGCATTGATGGAACGATGCATTCAGAGAACATTTTAAAATGTTCATTTCTATTTCATGTTTTCTTGAATAATCCAATATTTATAAATGATTTATCTTAAATCCTCATAGTTTACAGCTAGTGCTTCTGAGTGTCTCTAATATCTGAAATTATTTAATCAGGCTGTGGAAGCAGGTTTTTCTGCGGCCTAATTGTGGTGAAATGGAGCAGACTGGGAACGATTGACGTCTTTCCATCTACACTGGGTCACTTTATGATTTATATCAACTTTAACATTAATATCTAACAATTTCTATAAAATGTTTTATATTTATTCAAATTCTACTTAAATATTTATCCAAATTATCATGAAAAATAAGGCTGCCTTCATATTATTTTAAAATGATTTGAGCTTATGAGAAATATTTTTTTGTTTTTATCGTCTTTTTATGTGAGTCCATTTTAAGAACCGTGAGGAAACGCAGCAGACGTCCTACAGATGTTTTTCCCCGTTGCTTATTAGCGTTGCATCTATTTTTTTATTCCGTAGAAGTAAAAAACAACCAAAAAAAAAGTTAAAAACTCCGATCGGAGGTTTCAATTTCCATGTTTCCAAGCAATACAAGGCCTTGGCCGCTTCTCAATTCTCGAGAACGCGAGTACGTACTCGCGTTCTTGGCGAGAACGCAGGAAGATCGGACTTGACGAAAACGCGAGCACGTATGCGTATTGGAACAGAAGCGTACTTGTGACGTCATCACACGCAACGTTCTTTAGCATTTCTTTAACAGTCAAAACTATTTATTCCCTACACAAAACATTTTGAAAACAATATTTTTAATTTCTAAAGCTTAAACATTTTAAAAAATTGCCGAACCGTGGGTATAAAACTGCTGGTCACTCTGGTCCGCTCAACGTCGGACTTTCTTTTTTAAATTTCGCACTAACTCTGTAAACAGGCCACACAGGGAGGCTTCAATGTATAATGTTATCGCCTCAAACGATTTCAAAACGTACTTTTGAAGAACAACATCAGCAGAAAAGGGAATGTTTAACTTACCACTGTGAGCGCTGTCTGGAATCAAGCTGCGGCCGCGGTGCATTCTGGGGAAGCGGTCAGTCTGAAGAACGCACAAGTCTGCTCTGATGCATGCTCGATAAAGAGGGCGGGGCCAGAACAACATCCGGGGATTTGGTGCGTTCTCGATCTGGCGTTCTCGAGAATTTGAACGGTACTCGGGCTGAGGCTGATGACGTGCCACGAGTACACGAGCACACGAGAACGCTCAAGAACGCATATCGAGAAACGGCTCTATATAAAGACTCAAACTCACTGCGGATCCAGACATTTGAATTGAGAAAGCTTCCTGGAAGAGTGTCTGGTTCATAAAATGTAGCTTTTTTGAAAAAGGAAGAACTGAAATACACAATTATTTCTGCAGGAAGGAGAGACAGTTGAACCCCAGACTCAAACACACCGTCTCCTCCTGGACCTCCTCCGCAGAGCGTTTAACAGAACATGACGCATGGTTACAAACAGAGTATTGTTCTGACAGAACAACTGATCAGTTCATAAAGACAGAATGCTCCATCAGAATGACGAGGCAGGATGGTCTCCTGACTGAATCATGAGACAGGAGTGGAGCATCCCCTCGCAAAAATGTTTCATAAACACACATTTATTTTATAATCATCTGAATAAACCTGACAAAGGGAAGCGAAACTTCTTCAAACCTTGGAAACAAAGTCCAGTGGATTGTTTTTTAAACTTTTGCGGAATGACTAAGACCTGGATGACTGGGAATCTTCATCAGCATCTATTTTTTAAGCTCTATTAACTGTTTGCCGTATAATAAGTTGAATCTGCAGTGTCTCACGTTGCGTCTCTGTGTCCAGGTGTCCATCGGGAAGATGTACGAGGCTCAGAGGACGGTGGTGGAGTAAAAGGACCCTCCTGTTAACGTCGGATTTGAGGTGCATTGTGGGAGATGTAGGACGAAGTGAAGCTGCACACTTCCTGGACGTTGTTTGGAGTTCGCTCTCCTGCAGTCAGAGATGCACCAATTAACCGAGTTCAGACCGCCGCCGTCGCAGAGTCAGACGTCTTTCCCTCAGGATGAAATATTCAGTTTATTTTCAGTTAAAGCAGAAAAAAAGGATCAAATATTTTACAAACCAGTTAAAGATGGAAGCAGAATCTTGGTTCTGTTCCCTCTGGGTTCATTTGATGAAGGTAAACCTGAAGCAGGTGATCAGAAACCGATGGGCGGCGAGTTTAAGGATCAATCAGATTTGCTGCTGAAGCTCCACAAGTTTAAATATTTGTTTTTTTTCTGATAACTGAAGAAGATTAATAAACAACTGGGCTGTTTGTGACGGTCTGCCGCTGATCGGTGCATTCCTGATTATCTTTATTTTTTATTAAAGCGCACAATTAGTCCCTCCTGCAGGAGGTCGTGTTTTTTTTATTTCTCTGGGACAATAAACCTGTTTTTTTTTTTGTTTTGTGAAGTGGAGGACGTTATGTTTTCTCTGATCAGGGAATAAACTCTGTGAAAGAACCAGTTTGATGCCAGTTACAGCAGATTTCCACCCTGCAAGCTCCTTCCTCTCCGCTGTGCTTCAGGCGCTTAAGCCCCTCCCCTCAGAGGAGTCTCCATGGCAACAGTTCATGCCTATCATTCTACGGGATAGATCCTTGAATGAAGCTTATCGGCGATTAAATAATCATGTTCTGTTCATTTTTCCTGCTGTCAGACTCTGAAAATAAAAACTTCTCAATAAGTCGTTTCTTTGTGGTTTGATTTATTGACTTTTCGTTTACCAACAAACCTGAAGACGACTGCTACTGGTTTCCGTAGGGAAACGGAACCAGTTAAGGGCTGGTTATCCTCTTGCAGGAGTGTGTCGTAGGAATGACGCAGATATTTTAGATTTATGCCCAATTTTTTAAGCGTGGACTGCAAAAAATACAAATCTAAATCATATTTTTCTTAAATTAAGTGCATTTCTTCTTAAATTGAGGAGGTAAGTGAGACACTTTGCCAACGGAACAAGACAATTTACACTTAAAATAAGAGTGCATATTTAATTCAATTCAGTTTATTTCTATAGCTCCAATTCACATCATGTCATCTCAGGTCACTTTCCAGTTCACCAGATCATCCAGTCAGATTGATTCAAAGTTTTCTATCTAGATAGAGATAGAATGAAGCAGAATGATGAAAAAGGGGTCCCTATGTCCTCCAGCAGTCTAAGCCTATAGCAGCAGAACTATAGAGATAGCTCAGGATAACCTGAGCCACTCTAACTAGAAGCTTTATCAAAAAGGAAAGTTTTAAGCCTAGCCTTAAAAGTAGACAGGGTGTCTGCCTCACAGACTAAAACTGGTAGTTGGTTCCACAGGAGAGGAGCCTGAGAACTAAAAGATCTGCCTCCCATTCTACTTTTAGAAATTCTAGGAACCACTAGTAAACCTGCAGATTGAGAGCGAAGTGCTCTGTTAGGAACATAAGGAACAATCAGATCTCTGATATCAGATGGAGCTGCAAAAAAAAAAAAAAGAGTTATTCCACCTTTCTGATTCCTGATCCTCCACGGACGGGTTGGTCGTTGGATCGCCAACTTGAAGAGGGAGGATTTGCCATCGAACTTCTGGCCAGAGAAAAAACCCGTAATATGTAGCCAACATTTGGAAGAAGAATGTTTTCAAGATGACTTGGATAATAGCGCGTTGTGACAAACACCAGATACAGCACTGGGACTTGATCAACAGCCGATACCGCACCGTGACGTCACTAACCAGTAGGTGGCAGTAGTGTTCTTTGACAAACATGGATGCCTCCAGTAAAGCACATTCACATGGAAATTACTCTGAATTACAAACACTGATCATTTATTGAACAGGATGGAATCATTTCAGGTTTAAAGAACTTTCAGATGTTTGAATTCTGAATATGAGCGGATTTTCCTTTAAAGTTTAGTGGAAAGTTTTCCATCCAGCTTTCAATAACTAAATGTCTAAGACCTGCTCTTCTGCTCCTTAGGAAAGGCTATAGATTGTCCTTCAGGAAGCCCCATTGAACTCATGCACAGCTCTCTTTAAGGTCATACACCAGATGTGCTCATGTGCAGCAATAAGACTCAAGAACTTTACAAAGATTAGCATTATGAGGCAACTAATATAAAAAGCCGATCCTCCTGGAACTGGAAGCCAAAAAAATCATCCAGTCTAACTTTTATGTTTGCTATTAAGGTAAAAATGCCTCACCTAACTGCTACCTGAGGCATCATAGGCAGCCTCGCCTGATTGGACACCACCCCGGCTTAGATTTTCGCTCTATTAGGACAGTTAATTCTTGCTAACCATTGCTTTGTGTTGAATAGAGGTATCTCGCTTCATGCATGTTAACCAATTAATTATGTACTTTTAGACCTTTTAGTTTAGTTTTGTCCAGAAAGGACTCCTGCATAGATGTTGGACCATCTACAGCAGGCATCCGCAAAGTCGGTCCTGGAGGGCCGCTGTCCTGCAGGTTTTACAGGTTTCCTTGCATTAGCACAGCTAATTTACATTGATAGTTGATTAACAGGTCTTTACTGAGGTGCAATCATTAGAATTAGCTGTGCTGCTAATGCAGGGAAACCTGTAAAACCTGCAGGACAGCGGCCCTCCAGGACCAACTTTAAGGATGCCTGATCTACAGGACAACTGAGAACTTACACATCCGTATGCGCAGAACTGAAGTACTGTAGGTGGCTAAGGTCACTGCCAACAATGATGAGCAGAGTTTAAACATCCTGAGCACAGAGGAAAGTAGACTAAAGTCTAAATGTAGCTTCCAGTTGCTTTCAACCAGCCCTAAATCTAACCGAACGTCTTTGTGAGGGAAGATAGGATGCCTTCAGGAAAAACTGGAAACCAAATGAATCCAGTCGACCTTTTGAAATCCTCTACAGTAAATTTTGCAGCGTTAAGGCAACACTTTAAAAGTCTCATTATTATCAGTCGTCTGTCACTGCATCTGTAGCATTTATAATCGGTTTGGATTTCCTGCTCCTCTGGAGGGGCGTTTTCAGCACAGACAGCGAGCTGACGACACCCGCTGCACTAGGAAGTAGAAAACACGGCTGTTTACAACTTTATCAAAGCTCTTCCTCCTGTTCGAGAGCAACAGACATTTATTTTCTCTGAGTTTTCCCACAATATGTTGACAGTTGTGATATTTATGGTTTAAATATCGGAATATCTCCAGGTGTTTACATTTGAACTCTCACTAGTAGGAGTTCGGCATGTTACAGAATTTCCTTGGTGGAAGTTTTGTCCACAAGGAGGGGCGTGGAAGCCCAAGCTGATGTAATCTGGCTGCACAGCCCTGGTGGACGCGTTGCATAAATCTAAATAAATTCTGAGTTCAAGGTTGTGTCCTCCGAATGTCAGATTCGTCGGCTGATTACGTCATAGCGAGGAGCCGAGGCTTCTTCGCATTGGAAGACGACTTGTTATGAGACGGACAACCTCTTTTTTTACCCATTCTAAAGGACAGACTCGCTGTATCCTCCGTAGCCTTGGGTATCCCATGATTCATTGCAAGTCCAAGCAAGCCGATTGCTCCATGCTCAGAGGAAAAAGGGAAATGGCACCGAACAGTGGTGAATATTGGAAGTGCAGTTTAATATAATCCAAGTATGTGAATAGTTCCGTCTGAAATAAATGAAAATATTTGTTTTAAATGGTTATTGATTCAGATATGTTGATTCTGCTTCTGTCTCCTTGAACCCCAGTGGGCCTCAGCAGATGGCTGCTCACACTGAGCCTGGTTCTGCTGGAGGTTTCTTCCTGTTCAAAGGGAGTTTTTCCTCTCCACTGTCGCTACAAGCATGCTTAGTGTGAGGGATTGCTGAAGAGTGAATGAGTCGATGCAATCAGCTGGTTTTCCTTAGATAGAAAACTTTGAATCAATCTGACTGGATGATCTGGTGAACTGGAAAGTGACCTGAGATGACATGATGTGAATTGGAGCTATAGAAATAAACTGAATAGAATAGAAATATGTGGCGGATAATGTTTGGTTTAGCATTTAGCTCCCGTGGTTTCTGGTCTTAATGTACAATGTTCTCATGGTTTGAGACGGTCTGTTTCCCTTTAAATCCTGCAGCCTGTGGACCGTCTCTCCAGGCTGAGCTCAGATGTTTGGTTGAGGGGGGGTGAAGGTGAAGCAGGTGAGTGACCCCTGGGGGCCCCTGGCTTCTATTCATAGACTGCACTATTGGTTCACTCCAGAGCGCACACACACACAAAGGCAGGTGTTAAAGATCATGTTGCTCAAGAGATTTTCTGTGTTTCAACACATGAAGATGAGCTTTTTGCTCCCGCTGAGCTCCGTCCTGCAGCCTGAACAGACTTTAGACTCAGTTCTGACCCATTTCTGATTGGATTCTGCTGGTTTGCTCATCAGTTTCACGCCTTATTGATCAATCTTTTGATCGACCAAGTCACATGACCCACCCGTCTGTTCGGCGCGTGCTGAAACATCATGTGAGGCCTTAAAGTGCTCAATGTGCACAGAGCGGTCAAAAATACTCTAGGAAGTCAAAGTGTCAAATGGAGTTCAACTTTAATTCTGAATAAATAAGAAAACATCCAGCCAACGATAAAGGCGTTTGATTCAAACCACAAAACAAAATCTTACCTGTTTTCTGCATCAAGAAGCTGTTTATTTGCCAAATAAAAAACCTGTTGTTTATTTTCTTTGGTTGGTTCGGTTCATCTGCAGGTCAGTCATCAATCGTCTGGAGGAGAAACATTGAAGGTTTGCTCTCATGACAGCACCGGGTTACATGGCCGATATGAATCACTGCAAAATCTACAACAAACTGGAAAAACAAACTATATTTTAAAACGAATTCCAACTCTGCATCATGATTTCAGGAAAAAATTCCATTGTTGGGCAACAAGAGAGGAAAGCACACTGCTGGAATCAAACTGATCACTAAAATGTTTAAATTGATCAATAAACTGTTTAAATTTATCCATAAAATGTTTAATTTAAACACTTAAATGTTTAAATTGATCACTATCATCATTTAGTAACAAAGAGGTTTTCAAACATTTTAAATTACTATTAAAACGAGACTCTCTGATGTTTAATAGGCTGTTTTCTAAAAAGTTTGTTAAACAGAAGAAACAATCTGAGTTTTGGTTGATTTTAAGAAACAAAAACATTGTAAAACATAAAAATAAAAAAACATCCAGAAAAACAGAAGCTAACGGTTTAACTTTTGTTTGAAACCTAAGAGGGCCTAGCAGAAAGCCTTTGGGTGCCCCACATAGAAACATCACTTTGGTTTTTATCCATTTAAACTGACAGGTTTTGCTCATAAATAGTTACTTAGATAAGACATTAACCGTTTGTTTGATTTATTTAGGTCATTAAAGCTGTAGTAACTTTCAGATCATTAAGAACTAAAGAAAATAAAACAGATTTAGTTCAGTTTGAGTTCAATGAAACGGAAAGTTTTTATATCTAAATCAGAGCGATGCATTTCATAGATGGTGTTATCTGGAGCTCAGCCTGTGTTGACAGATCAACTGATCAAACATGGAAGGTCAGGTTTATCAACAGGATGGTTTTCAAAAGCCTTCTGGACTTTAGCCTCGGCGTAAAGATGACGGCCAGGAGGACAGAGAGCTGAGAGCGGCTGACAACATGTCCCGGCTGAAGAGAACTGGACGTAGTGTTTATATTTTTAACATGGGTGGGGGGCATTGTTCTGTTCTGGAGGA